ATAAAATTGAAGAGACACATATTTTAAAATAAACACATATTTAATAACTAAAATGTAAAACTATTTCAAAAATCAGAAACATATATCATGGGGAAATATGGTATTCACTAAGACACATAGTAAAAAATCATTTTCAATGCAGTAATTGGCTTTTAATGTAAGATGAGCAAATTTTTCAAAACTAGGCGTTTACTGAAATAAATGTACTTTGGATTTAGCCCATTGTTTACAAGAAGGTAAACATGTGTTGACACATATAATTATTTTAATTAAAATATCCATTAAATTATTTCAGTCTACATGCATTACACAAAATTAATGTAAAATGAATTAAACTTTAAATCCCATAATCTTCTCTAATTTAAAAATACTTACATTCTGATAGCTTACTATAGATAGCTTATTTCAGCTCTGAATTTGAATTTATATTTTACTTAAAAATGGAAAGCATATATGAAAATATATCAAGATATTTTTCCACATTTTGGAAGCACACATCTACACATTTTGTGGATATAAAGGCTCTGGATTCTGCAATTTTAAATTTGCTTTAAGAGACCTACATTTAAATTGAAGAATTCTTAACATTTTTGATGCAGCTTTATATATAACCTTGCAATAAGTGGATTCAGTTAGTGATTGAGAAAATATTTTGTGACTCTTTATAAAAGATTTTATATTTCTCCTTTTGTAATAGGTTACATTGGCTTGCTGTCACTTGCATAGATTCGAGAGGATAAAGACATTCTCTCGTTTCTATGCTGGCTTTGCCTGTATGTTTGCCTATGACTTCTTCATGGCTACTTACTTGATACTCTGCAATAGATGTGAAACACATTCTAATCTTGTCACAAAACTGTTTCAAATACTGACTATTTTTTCTCTGCTCACCATCAGAAAAAATCTTGTAAAAGCACTGCATAAACAAAGACTCTAAACTTTCTAATCTCTAATGAAATTTTTTCTAAAAAAATTTTCATTACAGTTCTCTCTTATTTCTCCCTAAACTATTTCAGCAAAGCTGCATGTAGTACGCCATATGGACATTCCCATTCTTTTTGGTTCAGTTCCTTTCAGTAGCAATTGACACTGGACACCTTTCTTTCTTGAAAACTGATCATCTCTTAACCTCCAAGGTGCTACACTAATGTGTTCCCAATGATTGTAACACCTGAATTTCTTTGAGGAGTCAGTGTGTTTTCTTCTCCCTATAAGGTTCCTGGGAACTCACTTGCTCTCCCAAGTTAGTAACTCTGTGTGAATTTTTATGCTGTGCCAGTCACCCTGATAGCGCTGTGGAGTATCAGTATCACAAACACAACTTCTCTACAAACAGCTTAGGCATTATTTGCCAGGTAGATTTATCCTCACCGGACTTCAAATATCATTCACCTATTAAGACTCACAGTCTACAGTGCAGTTTTCTAAGCCATGGCTATCTTCTCATCTCCATAATCACACACCAAACCAACCATTCACATTTCAAACTCGACACATTCCAGACTGTTACTCTGTTCCTCATCTACAAACTCTGCTCTTCCTACAGAATTCTTCACATTGAGAAATACACCAGCAATGTTCCCTTTGCTTAAGAAGGTAACTTAAAAGTCATCATTTCCTATCAAGTCCAAATTATTACAGAGGCCAGGTTTATCCACATTAGTAATGCATCTGGAGTATTCATTCTCTTCCTTTCCTACTCTTATCCACTCTTTTACTGTATTGTGCTTCACCCATCACTTGCATGAGTCATATAGACAGACTTAATGCCTGTACCTTCATGCAACTTAAAATTGTTTTTCCTTCCTTTGAGATCAATAATGAATTTATTTAGGTAGTTTTAAGAAGCCCCTGGAAAGTCTGCATTTCAGCTCCCTCTCTTGTGTTATTCCCAGACTCACATCCCCAGATTCAATTCCAGATGTACTTTTCTGGCTCTTAAAGGAGATTGGCACTTTCTGTGTCAAAGACTTTTCCCACGTTACCTTCCCTGGAAGCTTAATTCCTGGAAGTTTCCTTTAGAAAACTACTTTTGAAAGGAAACGATTCGTCATCCTAACTGCACTCCATGAATTAAGTATTTTTGCCAAATTTTTGATTGCATGGGTGCAGACCACATGAATACTTCCCATATCTGTAATCACTCTGGGTTACATTGTGCAGTCTTGCTATACTGTGAAGTCATTCTAGTTTGGACCATTTCTGTTCTTTTATGCATTAATCGTTTGCCCTCATCTCAGTTCCTTCACAAGGTAAGATTCTAGAAAATACTCCTAGAATGAATAAATAAATTGGTTTTAGGTTGGCAGAGGCAGAAGAAACTAAACCAGAATTCTCTACATTTTCAATATGGGTGTTGCCTATAAGCTCCACGCAATAAGATAATCAGACTGAAGGTAAATATATTACTTTAGGGTCAGTGCCTCACAGTAGGCTTTGCTGTGTCTTTATATATAGGGATAACATAATAATCAACATAATACATTTTAGTCATAGGTAAAGTTATTGATATTTCAAATTTATACTGAACTGAACTCAGGGCCTTCACACTGAGTTATATCTCCACTTGTTTTTACTTTATTTTGACGCAGGGTCTTGCTAAACCACTAAGTTGTCCAGAATGGGCTCACATTTGCAATATTCTTTCCACAGTTTCCTCAGATGTTGGAATTACACTCATACACTGCCATGCATGGCTTGCTTTTTGTCCTCAAAAAATCCCTGGGAATCTAGCTGCATAACATTAAATAAGATGCATAACACCTAATTTGTGGAATCTTATGTTTAATACATAAATTGTAATTAAAGTGTTGTCTTTTCCTACATTAACATTATTTTTTTGTTTTCATTAACATATAATATTTGACCATATATATGGAACATAGAGTGATAATCAAATCAAAGTAATTAGTATTTCCATCCCTGAAACATTTATGATTTCTTTGTTTTGGAAACATCCAATCTATAAAAAATTATGAAGGCCGGGGATATAGCTCAGCGGCACAAGCGCCTGCCTGGCAAGTGCAAGGTCCTGTTAGGTACCCGCCCCCCGCCAAAAAAGAATATATTAAAAATTCGCGGGAACTATAGTCACTCTTCCATACTATACAATATTAGGGTTTACCCTTTCTATGTTACCGTATTTTAACGTCTGTTAATAAAAATTCATGGTTTCTTCCATATATATGAACTGCATTAAAGATTTGGAATAATGGAATACAGTTTTCAATTCTGTTTTGGATAGTTTAATTTAGTTTGCTAATTATTTTTATATTATGTTCATATCTTCATAGAATATAATTACTACAACCATAATATAATTTCAGAGGAAATTATTGATGTTTCAAATTCACAAGGCAAATATTTGATAAAGGATAGTACATGCAGCCCATGTTACTTAGGTGTAGCAAATCCTATGAGTGTCAGATTTTTTGTAGGACTTGAATAGATAATTTAGGCTTTTCAAATCATCCTTGTAAAATGAATACCTGTTCCTTACCTAAGTCATAATTAAGAATAAAGTGAGATAACAAATGCATGTGGACTTTATAAATTTTAAAACATATTATCATAATGTAGGATATCCATATTATTTCTAGAGGCTCTTAACTCCTCAATTTGAAATTATAATCAAAATTACAATTCATAGCATTAACTAATAATATTACCAAAAAGTGATAAAGTTACTTTTAAATCTCATAATCAATAATTATTTTAATAAAAATTTTGCATGCTTATATCTGGTAATCTGAACAACTAATTTGAAGAGAACAATACGAAACATAACAACCATTGTTGAATTCCTATCATCTTGTTTGGTGAAACTCTACATCATTTATGCTTTTTTTGTTTTTATTTTTTATTCTCTTTAATGGTTTAATTAACCTTGCATTCTTACATCTGGTAATCTGACCAACTCTGATGAAGATAAAAATATATAATATAACAACCAAAAAATAAATAAAAATAAACTGTATAAACTAATATCAATTTTTAAGTACTGACATGTAACATAAGAACTTAATAGTAAGTGACATTAGAATCAATTTGAAATTACAGGAGGGTCGAGTAGCATGACTGAATGATAATTGTAGTTCTTTTCTAGTTTCAAAAGTATTATGTACTAATAGTGATATTCTATGGTAACATAACTCTGGCTTTATGAATTAATTTGATCTAATTTTTCTTTACATATTTACATAAAGAACATATGTCTATAAAGTTTTAGCACTAGGGGTAATACTTAAAGTGCATATTTAGTTTATGGCTAATGTGGAAATTAACAGATTTAAATATAATTTTGTATCAGTATAAATATACTCTTGCTTTTTTACCTCTATATCTGTACTGTATATTATCCAAAAATATTTTAACAGCGCTGTCATGGTTTCTGGTAATATCTCTAACATCAGTATATAACAATGAACATACTATTACCTACCAAAAGAACAGTCTGCTAGTTTGTTATGAAAACTGGTTTAGAGTTTATTCCTATGATATACATCTCATTGAAAGGGTAGCTATATATCTTTATGAAGTTTCTTTTGTAACTGTCCTTGCTTCATTATCTCTCTAATTTTATATCTCTAAAATCAATCTTATTGTTCAGTTATCATTGTCTTTGGTACGATCTAATCAGAGTCACACATCAGCTGCCTTGTGCTTGACAGAGAATTTGCCTTATTTGCAAAGATTTCCGCTGGTCTCAACAAAATGTTTTCATCCTGATGTTTATCATTCATTTCACCTTCCATTATTTCCCTCTGCTTATCCTCTTCTCATCATTTCTGTGGCTAAAGCTATCAAAGCATTTTTACAAAATAGCCCATGTCAAGAAGCATTAGGAACACTTGAATATAATATGCATAATACTCATGATTGTAATCTAGAGTTTGCATTGGGTTTGCAAACTTATATTTTCATCCTTCATTGAAAGAACCAGAGCTGTTATAAAAAGATTACATAATACTTATGTTAGCAAAGCATGTAGTTTTGCTTACCTTTAATAATGTTGGGTTTTGGTGGCATGCTGAACTCATAAACTGTTGGTTCAGAATATCCTAGTCTATTGGCAGCTGTGATTTGAACTTCATATCCCATTGTCCACTGTAGATGCTCCAAAATAATATGGTCTTTATTTCCCTGCACTTTTTTCTCTAACCACTGATCTTCTTTATCTTTCTGTAAAGAGGATACAAATATATTTTGTAAATATTGATATATCCTTTTGGTAACTTTTTTAAAAATATAATTTATTTGGTAACAAAACAAATAGCTTCATTAATTTCACTTTTTATATTCACATGGATATGTGAACTTGTAGGATCAGGGAAGTCAGTATTTTTGCTAACATTTGATTATATAAGATAAAATGTCTATGCATATTAGCCAGAGTAATGATTCTGTACACTTTTATCTTTAAGTAATTTATCAGCTACCTTCATGATTGTATTGTTTGACTGATATTCCACAGTTTGGGATTTATTCTCTCTGTTAATTATTGCTAAGCATATGAATAGAAAAATGAAATACAATACATCAAATAAGTCTAATATGTCTAGAAACATGTTAAAATTTAGTGAAGGAAAAAAGGTATATGGAAATTAAATTATAGGTATCCTGTACACTTTTGTTACTGCTTATACTGTATATTACTATATTTTATGACTCACAGTGAAATAGCAAATGAGGAAAAATGCCATGGGGGAATTTTAAAGAGTCATCTTTCCCCTAATTTTTCTGAATTTAAAGGCTATTTGTTTAGTTTGGACCATATGATATTAGAATTAAAGCAACATTATTATCACAACTAGCACAGAAAAATATATTAGTATAATTTTATGAATTACATTATCAAAAGATGTGAGAACACTGGTCTGTAATGTTTGTTAACTACTCAAACATGGGTAAGTTTATCATCCTTCTTGTTCCTTTCCTGTCTGTAACAGAAATAATAGCAACAGCCTCTTCTATGAGACTTTCTGATGGAACTATAAGGGAATGAGTAAATTGTGCTTTCCACGGTCTTAGGATTCATAATCAAAACAGTGCCCATTACTAGAAAATGACTATTTCCATAATAACCATATGGAAATGAAGTATTTTTGCAAAGCTCGTGTACCTAATAATCTATAACTGAAATTTCAAACTTCTCAGGAGCTAGGTATAAATAAATTGAATTCTGGCTATAGGAAAAGATAGAAAGATTTGTTTAACATATTCATTTATCCAAATATTACTTTACATTCAGCCAAAATTTTTACTGTGTTCCTTCAAATATGGAGAATAAAATGTTTGCTGAACTTACATGAATAAATAAGAGAATAATAATTATTCTCTACATTAAATTGGGATACTGTAAATATGCAAATATTTAAGAGGAAACAAAAAGATGTGTTTTGATACTATAGTATTATTTTATTGAGTTCTTTCTGACATATAGATCTTTTATTAATGCAGTAGTTTCTTATTTCTTATAAAATGTAAAATATAAACACTTCTAAGGAGATTAGAATTTTAAATGGACATTTAATTTGTCGCATAAACAACAAGTTGTTTTATACTTTTGTCAATTTTTATTTTTTTATTAGTTTGTATTGAAACTTAGATGTAGAAACACTTTGAAAAATGGCCTATTTCCAATTTGGATTTAAGATCTTAAATGGTATCCTGGAATGGGTATGGGAAAACTGCCAAGAGACGCTTTAGTTAGTCTAAGAAGCTAACTGAATAGTAAAGTTAAGATTCAAAGTAAAACATGCTTTGTGAAGCTTAGTATGGCTGTATTAGGGTCATCATGTTCCAATACCATCTTTCTTCAACCAGTCATTTTTTTCATCATTATTTGGTGATGAGACTGTTCTAGAAGTTATGAAAACAAAAGTTTAAAGACATATACAATACCCTCATTTTGTTTTTATAAACCAACAAAGAAGCAGGTGTTGAGTTCTTTGAGTAACAAGACAATTAGATGAGGCTTGCACAGAGAAATTTAATAGAGTTTCAGGGCCAGGCAGGTCTCTCAGGGAAATAATATTGCTCTTACTGGAAATAATTAACTTTGGCACAATTGATCTCACCTAACATACTACATATATCGCATATATAAAGGTGTGAGTCCTTTAGAGAGCTTTATACCCAAAATTAAGCACAACAGTTTTAAAAATGAATAACCAATAAAGGATATAAAAACATGCTGTGTGAGAATTATTTCAAGTAAGTTTAAAAATTTCTAGAGTTACATAAAAACAAGTGCCATGCAAGGTGGTAAAAACATGCATATTTCTGTGGTCCTGACATTGCCCCAATAATTCACATTCTATAAAACTATGAAGTGCTTGCTATGAATAATTTGTGGAAATTCAAGTGGCTGGATTTTGCTTTGAATATGAGTGGAGATATTGATTTCCAGCCAAAAAATAAGCCAGTAAGTGAGATTTGAAATTCCTCAGAATACAACTTATTCTTAGAGGATGAATAGACTTCCTGTCCTTCAAGTAGTTCTCCAAAATATATCATTTCTGGGAACTGAGCATTTTAGGTGCAACTTGTAATCTTCCAAAATAGCAATTCTGAGAATGTAGCATTTGAGGAGAAATTTCTTGACAAACACAAGTCACACAGGCATTCTTTTCTGAATTAACAATCACTTAACTCTTAACTGTTGAAGCTCTTAACATGCAATTTTAGACTAATGGTGCAGGAAACCAAGGGGAGTTCTAATATTTTCCCAATGCAAATCAATTTCATTTTCCATTCAACGTTAGATAACAAGGTATTTTAATCCCCTAATTGCTATATCTAGGGAATGGAAAAAAATTAAAATGGGTGTTACCAAAAACTCCCCTAGGCATGGAAATCTCAATTATGTATCTGCGGAGTGCCTAATTTACAGAATTTAAATGGCCAGGGACTGATTTAAGATAACTGCTTGCAAAATGTTCCCCAAGGTAACTTAATGAGATGATTTGCTGAATAGGACTATTATTAATAAGCCATTTAAATGTTGAAGGACAGCTACTGAAAAACTGGGCATTTTTATGTGCTATAACTTCTGGTAGGCAATACTTTTTGTCATAAAATACCAGGACTATGCAACAATTAGCGATACTTCTTAATGGTGATTCTAAAGTCATGATATCAACACATTAGCAAATATTTCCTAACTTCTACAATAGTACATCACAGCAAAGAAGGAAAGATTAATATATTTCTTTTTTTTTTTTTTGGTTTTTCTCCGGTGCCCGGAACCGAACTCATGACCTTGCGCTTGCCAAGCAGGCGCTTTTGCCGCTGAACTAAATCCCCAGCCCCAAGATTAATATATTTCATTTTTACAGGGCTATCTGATGCTTTAACCATAACAAGTAGTAGTCTATTAACTGTATTTTCAAGTTTTCATTGAAACAATATGTTAAATAAAACCCAAATAACTGCAAAATTAAAGGACAATATAGATGGTGAGCTCATACACACTAGGTGAAATTTAGGTTCTTCAAATTCTGATGTCATCTAATTTAACATTTTGCATGAATATGCAACAGTTTGGGGGTTTCTAGATTTCTGATATCAGAGGTCAAATATTCTTTATTTGTATAATCTCATAGAAGGATCCAGAAATCTCTAAATGTCTGTTTGATACTCTGAATACAAATAGAGGTTAGCAGTCTGGATAATTCATATCGAACATGGGCTTGTGTATTGGTATGTAAAATAATATATATTCCCCTGAGATTAGGGAATATCTAAGGTTTAGTAGGTTTTAGCAGTAAATGTCTAAATTATAATCTCTTCTTTTTGTTACCAGAACTGACTGCATTTTCCTTGGTTCCATGTTCTGATGCTGGGTAAAATTTCCTAAGATGAGCTTTAAGTAATATTTGTAGAGCCTCCCCACCCACATTTTAGCAGTTTTCCTTTGTCATCACCTCAGGCACATCCATAAACATTGGCAGAGTGCGAGCCATAATCTTCACAATGGATCACTTAAGTCTTCTTTTTTTCATTGTGTTCATTATTGCTCACATCTATGAATCTATTAGAGGCTGATTTATAATGGAATGAAATGGCTTAACTGATTCATTGCTGCTTTTGTACACTTACACAACAAATAGGCTATTTTATATCAATGTAAAGATGAATAAAACTCATTGTCTCTTCATGTAGCAAAAAAATTCATTAAATTATTTCATTCTATTTAACATCTAAAGCTATATACTGTCCACAAGTATTTCAAAATTAAAACTGATCTTTAAGTGTATTTCAATGCACAGACTAAAATGTTATACTTATAAAATAAATTCTCTCAACAACTGAAGCTCATTTTTATTAATTCATAATCTCAGTACTGTTTTCAATATAGCTTTGTTTCTCTGTTCCCATTTAGATCATATGCCAATTTCTGAACTTTATATGGCTCAAGAAGTTTGATTAAGACTTTAGAATATATGTTATAATTACTGTTGCTAGCTCCTAATGAATCTTTTTGACAAGTGAGTTTAAGTTACCAATTTTCTTTCACTCTTCTCAGTTCTGAAAGCTCAATATTATTCCAATGCTAAGTGATAGTTACGATCCCATAGTGATCATCAATTTAGAGTAAAAATTGTGAAAAGGTGATGGAAGCATGGAAATGATATTTATTAAATTATATGGAGTTCTACTGACACTACATGTATGATGTACTATGTAGATGTCAAATATTCAGTTCTTGAAATAATTTTTTGTGTTTCTTCATTCTATTAGATTAATGTGCTCATCATTAGTCATAATTAACCAGATACATGATTGAATCTTACTATCTTATTGTTGGAGATGTTAATTCCATAGACAGCTAACTTACTTTTTATTACTCTAGTTCTGATCTGATAAACTTTGTCTTCTTCGTAGGTCACTAAACAAAGCCATGTGCTCCATTACAGGATAGCACAGATTTCAGGAAGTTGTACACTATCTCTGTCTTGCCTTCACTCAGTGAAATTCAAATGAGACACCTTGATTCATGATCTATTAGAAATCACGTCATATATGAAATACACTGTCTCAGTTAATACTGTTCTCAGAATATAAAACAAATGTTTGTGTGTACGTTACTGTTGAGAAATGGGCTAAGAAAAAAAATCTAGAGAAAAAATTTGGATTGGGGTGGTTACTTATTTTCCAGGTTTATATCACTATTTTTCCACAGAGTTTATCTGTTTAAAAATGCATTATAAAGTTCTAAGCCATTTTCCAAATTATTTAGTAACACTTTGCTCCATTGTAGACGTTATGTCCTTTGCAAAACAAATAAAAGTAGTGGCTTGAAATCAGACAGAGTACCAATGATGAAGGACCCTCCTGAAAATGTTACCACTTCACTGCAAATGTAAAATACCAAGGCAAATGCCACTAAAACCTCTTAGTAACAAATGCTCTTGAAAAGACATGTTTTTAAACATGCAGAAATAAAATTTGCATGAAATTATTTCTTCCCAATCTATTTTCGTTGACATGAATATAACTTTGTATTGAACTACACTATCTCTAATTGAACCTTTAGAGCATGATACTGGCAGGGTGAAACAGGTGGAGGGGAAACGGCAAAAAATTAGAATAAAGGAGCAATGCAGTGAAAGAGAAGGCAGACTCTCACACGATATGGCAAGGAGAAAGACTGACGAAAGTGTGTAACTAGAATCACAGGACCTGAACATTTTAGGAAGGATGGGATTGTGGTTGAGCACTTCATGCAGTATAATTCCCAAAGGCAAATTTACATTGGGCTACTACTGCTGCAAAGTGTGTTTAACTTATTAAGTCTCATGTTCTCTTATCTGCTTTTTCTCACCACAAAGTCACTCAAACTTGCTGCTTCAGTTTGCCCTTCAAAAACATAAGAAAAGTGTATTACTTTATATTTTATTAAATATAGAAATTGTCTTAACAGTGAGCAATTTCTTTCTTGGAACACAGAAAGGTATAAAAATGTTTTTGGAAAATTTGTCATAGACGTCTAAAATTATGTTATTAAAGCAGTGTTTATTGTTAAAATGCTACCAGCTCTAAGACAAGCAGCACAGCGACTGAGTAGCAGTCAGTTATAAGTATGTTTATATGAAGTGAATCAAACAGATCATCCACTACTTGTACAGGTAGACATTCCTGGAAATTAATGCTGAATGTGAAAACAGAAGTGAAATGTAACTGCGGAGGTTAGAACACGTACTTTTATTGGAAGGGGAAATAAAATCTCCATGTAAATTTTAAGCAGCTATAAAGACTGCAATCTTTATATTGGGAGGAGTGAAAGAAGGACAACCTAATCAAGATAGAAATGTAGTAGTACGGCATGGTGGCACATGCCTCTCATCCCAGCACTTGGGAGGCTAAGACAGGAAGATCACTGGGAGTCAGTGTGATCCTAGGCTACACAAATAGCTCAAGGCCAGCCTGAATTACAATGAGACCCTGTCTCAAAACAAAATGTACGAGAGATAAAATTTGTTCTTGTTCACATTTTAATCTAAAATGGAGCCATTATCAATTACATGAGAAGGTAAAATTTATTGAACCATTGTAAAGAATTGATTCTTCAAGCTTACTAATCTCTTAATTATGAACAACTAAATTATTTGTTTCTATATCCAATTCACACATAATTTTTCAATTTTAACCCCAATTTTCCATATTCAAAGAAATGAAAATATCAAATCAATTGTTAAATGTTAAATTATTTTTAAAACTGAACTATATGTCATATATATATACATGAATATAAATATAGACCTATGAATATAAGCACGTGTGTTTATGAAGGACTCAAATGGCATTATTTTGTGACTGTAACAGACTCTGAACTGGTGTTATGTTGTACACAGAACATTCTTCTTTTCAACATTGGCTGGGACTACCTTGCTAGCCTATACTGAGTGGGAGAGAGTGATGTCAGTATTCTGCTTTGGGTAACAGAACTAGATACCTTAATTTTTGACCGCCTAAAATGGCAATATTTTGCCTTTTAAAAGTAATAACACTCATTAAAATGAAAAAGTAAATTCAACAACAGTTCAAGACAAGCATTTTCTGGTTATATCAAATCATCTCGTTGACGTCCTTTAATGGAGGGAGGCCATCTATGTATGAAGAAAAGTACTTTTAATGTTGTTGGTAAGATTTTATAAAATGCTGTTAGGAAATTAACAATGGTTGTTATATTACATATTGTTAGCTCCAAAGTGGTTACTCACATAACCAGATACAGGCATGTAAGACTGATCTAGCAATTATACATTAACTCTTCCTTTTCAATAAACCTACAGAAAATAGTAATACAATTACCTTAGCTATCTTGTATATATATATTTTTTCTTTCCTTCTTTATCCTCTTTTCCCTCATCCCAGTTGTTTTTTTTCCTATTTGAGCAGTTTCTTTCCTTTCAGCCATATCTATTTCACCTTTCAGATTTTATTTACTCTTTCAAGTTCAATCGTGCATTCTTACATCTGGTAATCTGAGCAATTTGGTTGAAGATAACAAGATGCAATATAACAACCACTGCCCACCCCTATTATCTTGGTTTGAAATCCTGTATCACTTTTATTGTTTTTGTCTTCATTGTTGTTATTTTATTATTGTTTATTGTCTTTAAAATTAAAAAAAGATTTTATAAAATGTTTTACTATTTTGAAAAAGAGACAGATTCGGTCAAAGATCTTATTGTTCTTTTCCTTGTTTCAAATGTCTTCTCATCCTGATGTGGATGTGAAGCCACTTAGGAACCAAGATAATCTGTATCAGGATAAAAGCCAGTGTCTTAAGAATAAAAGAATAAAAAGAAAAGGAATTTTAATGCTTGATTCCATTTCTGGGATTTGTTCCTAAATATGGAATATCTTACAAATAAACTTATGTAGTTCCAGAAAAATATCATCGTTGAATAGAATTTGATCATGTTTCCTGGAACCCAAATGTACATTTTAACAAATGAACAGCTTATATCAACTTTAAGATCAAAATTATATAAAATTTACTGACCAATTTCCAGAAATAAGTATTTTAGGCAAATATGCAATGCTAACTTGTATTAAATGGTTTGAAAAAGATGCACACTGTATGCAGACTCTCAAATTTACTCATGGAAAACTGGAAATAGAAACAGGTAAGAGAAATGACAGTACTCCTAAATTACTCATGATTTCTTAATAAGATCTTTAATAAAAGAGATGAAAAGCTGTAACACAAAATAATATATATGTTCCATCATCAATTTAATACATATTTGGTTGCATAGAGTGTAGCATTCATATTTTTAGCATCAACTCATTAGAAAAGAAAATCAAGCATTTCATTAATTTTAAGTAAAAAAAAATATACATAAAATATATGAGACATAGTGTCACAAGTAGTCATTGCATTTTAGTGTTTCTTATGGGAATTTAATGAAGGTCCTTACTATCTGTTAAGGTACACTAATATATTCTACCATTAACTCTAGGTAGCAGGGAAGGTAGGCTACCATCTGCACATATAGCCTGTTACCCGGTCTAATTCATGAGTTCACATCAGATTTCTTAAAGTTCACATCAGATTTCTTAAAGTCACATCAGTTTTCCTTAAAGTTAGTTTCTGTGCTTCCTCAGAGTTTCCAGAGGAGCAAATGGGAATGGCCAAGAACGCTGGACCAAGTGGCGTGACACTTCCAGCTCCAAATAGACCATAGAGCCCTTCTGGGCTATCTTGGTGTAGAAGCATGAAGCCTGCTCAAGTTACACAATAGATATAGAGCTGCTCATCATAGGTAGCACAAAACCTCGATGAAGAGTTGTTGTTGAAAAGAATATTAATATTAAATTGAGAAGACTAAAATGATATCTAAAATTAATTATTGAAGCATGCCATTCAAAATCAAATTTCCTTTTTATTACTCCTCAAAACCAAAATGCTTTAATTCAGATGTAGTGATGGTATAATTTAGAAAATATTGAAAATTTACCCATGTATGATTACAAAGCAAAATTTTAATATATTATATGCTATATACAACTAGTCAGTGTGACTTTTGAAACATTTTGAGGAGAAACAATTCTCGGTAGCCTTTGAGATATTTTTAGCTAAATGCAAAGAAAGTTTATGGGGAACTTTCTTCATTACCTCACTACAAGAAGTGGTCTTTTTCCCCAACTTGTTAAACTACCCATGAGGTTACTAACTATCTAAACTCTCTTAACAGGGCACGCTAATTAAATTTGAAAAAATTTATTCATTTTTTCCTAAAGTTCAGTATGGACATTCTTGGCCAAGTATTAAGGAAAAAGAATCTTAGTATTTGATTACAATAACTTATTCTGAGGGTGATTTGCTAATAATTCTACCCAAATAAGTACAGTGGTCAAGAGGGCTTAGCTTAAAATTATGAATATCAAGCAGAAGTGAAAGTAAAATGACCTTACAAAATTTTTAAGACAAAATAGGGAAAACGGTGTGCTTTTTCTGAAATAGTAATCAGTTGTATTTCTCACCTAGAAATTACAAAATGAAAGCTAAGTATTTTGATGCTACATGCTTATATGTTAGCAAAGGAAAAAAGTTTTAATTTAAAATGATGAATTTAAAAAAGGAAAATCAGCTCTTATGATTGCTGTTACTGAATATATATTGATTCCTAACCTGTGTACTAACTCAGTGCAACTCATAATGCAATTTGAGAAAACTGGTACCAAATCACAATAAACAATTTACTTACACTTCTGTATTTCACAATGTATTCCAAAATGGGGGCTCCTCCGTCATCCTGTTTGGTGATGCTGAGTTTGAAACTCTTTCCACTGCTTGGTTGTCCATGTATGGATGGAGGACTTGGTTCACCTAGAGTCAATAGAACATTTTTTCATGCAGAGAAAATGCATTTTAATAAAAAGAACACTATCATATATGTAATATAACAACCACTGTTAATCCTTGTCTTTTGATTTGAAACTCCTTATCATTTTTAACATCCTTGCTTTGTTTTGTCTTTTTACTATTCTCTTTAAATTCAAACAAATTTTAAAGATTTAAAAAATTTAAAAAATAAAAATCTATGATGCTGTCCTAGTTTACCACTTGATCTTTGCTCTTTGTTGTGATGCAAACTCTTATCCACATAGACTTTTCTATAAGCTAGCAACATTCATAAATCCAGACATACCAAGCCAGAATTGTGAAATTTCAGGACCAGTTATATTACTTATGCTCATGTGCACATACTGTGAGAACAATGCTGCATTAATTAAGTGTAAATTTTATTTCTTTTATTATTAATTATTTGAGCTATCTACTCTATTAACTTAAAATTAGTTTATAATATTTTGTGAATATTGTTACTATAAATATTGTATATTAACACATCAAACATTTTATATACCTATCAAGATAGATAATGGCTTGAAATACTGTAATGAGTGTTTTATTCTTAGATTCATAATTGTAAGAAAGTTGATGAAGATGACATTTATAAGGATATATTGTACAGCCTTTTGTTTCTGTTTTAAGTTTTATTTTAAAGAGAAAAATAAAACAAAATTTCAAAACAAGATAATGAGAGAGTAACTATAGTTGATGTAATACATGCACCCAGCCTTTTCTCAATATTTTATTTTCATATAGTTTCATGAATCATTCTCCATTGCTGCTATTGCCTCAAACAGTCATACGCTACATGGCAGGTACTGACAATACAATTTGCAAAAGAGTATGTTTGTACTCGTGTATAAGCCTTCTCCCCATGAAGATCACCATCACTGTGTGGTAGCTTAGAATGGGATCTCCTTGCTTTGTGTCAGGATGCTGCTATGCCTGAGTGAACGCGCTCGTCATCCTGCCTGTTTCCTCCAAGACGCCAAGGATAAGGAAACGGTTATGGATATGAACTTGGCTCTCCATAGGTAAAGCTAAGGCACACAAACAAAAATTTAGTTTGCTGTGATCAGAATACTTGTAAGTTCCAGTCTATTTGGAAAAATGTCAAAACAACATAAACACAATAAAGTGAAGATATTAAGTATATACATTCTAGAGAAACTGAAATTTTTTTTCCTCCTCATCAAGTTAGACATTATTTATAATATGGTGTTTATAACCTAAAGCATGTAAGTAGTTTTATTTTGCCAAATTGCAGGTCATTAAAGCAATATAATAACAGGATATATTAGTTTGTAAGTGCGTATTAAATAGTCTCATATGTAAGAGCTACATAGTAATAGTGAAGAGAAAAATTATAGTGTGCTTGGCCATAAAGGTAATATAATCAATATAGAGGTATTATGAAGAATAAAAGGATATGCTCATGTTATCTAATGAGATGATGGGAAATGTATATTTTATAATGTGAATTTTATAAAATTCTCACTTAATAACATAATTATATTATTTTCATAGTAGCATTTTGAAAGAGTGATAAAGCAAAACCTTTGGTTTAAGTAGCAATTGTTGTATATATAAACTGGAAGTATATATATTTAAAATCAAGCATAGACCAAATTTGTCATTTGTTATTCTATTGTAATTGATATTTTCTTTGAAAAAAATAAAATCCAAAAAGTGTAATGTGGATTCTATTGAAGACAAATAGATACAACTTATAGTCTCTATTTGTGATTGCTACAGAATGTTTATGCCAAAGCAATATTATCAATAATAATAGAAATTTAAGGTATACTAATATATTTATGACTTTAAAAACCCTAAGAAAAAGCTAAAAACATTCTAAGAAGCAACTAAGTACATACTTTTTGATGCAGTATCCAACTTCCAAATCTGTCAATGTAACGAGGATATGATGCTAAGTCAACCTTACACTAAGAAAGCAGGGTTGTAACTTTTTAGAAGTGATTTTTATTAGCACATGCTTGCAGTACATAATGATTATCTATATTGTGGGGTGTTGGTACCTGTACATAACACATCTTACTTCTCTTTTGTCTCTTAACTCTTTCACTGCACCCTGTTCTTTCCAATTTTTGATTCCCTTCACATTTGTGAATGCTCTATTTATATTTTTTCCTTCAATTATTTTTTCTGTTCACTTTCTCTACCCTCCTCTACCTCTTGTTATCCTTCTCAGTTTATAAAGCTCTTTCTACTTCCTCTTTGCCATCTTTTATTTTGTTCTTTATTTATATTTTGGGCTTCTCATATGTAAGAAAAACCAAGCCATATTTAAACTTCTATGTCTGATTTATTTCAATTAATATTACATATTTGTAGAAGAACAGAGACACCTAGAGACCCTACTACTAATTAATGAGACAGAGAGGGAGGGAGAGAGACTCTCATTGATGACTAAATGAGAAGGAAATAAAATTGGAGAGGTTATCCACAGGTTTATTGGAAAAAAAAAATCATGCCTTTACTTTGAACTCATTTGCAGTTGTCCTGAGTGTCACCAGAAAGAGAAAAATCACTAGAAAATTCACAGTTCTGTGAGAAAAGGGAACATCACACAAATACCCTTCAAACCGCGGGTTCAGAGAGATTTGCTGCTCATGGAGGAGCTGTGAAGTCACAAACAAGCAAAGTAGGTGGGAGTTTAGAAGGTCGTGAGGTTGAGAACTTAAGAGCAGAGAGGGACAGACGAATTAGGGCAGAGCACATGGGATGTAGGATTAGTGGGTAAGGTGCAGGAGCTTGACATTCTGGTGAGTAAATGAGGGACCAAAAAAAGTGAGGGTACTGAAAATGTAAACCAGGCAACTCATCTGACAGACAGTATGAGAACCAGTAGAAAACTAATAGCCAAAATTAGGGTAAGGGAATTCATTACATCCAATTTAGAGCTCCTAATATGTGTGTAAAAAAATGATGCAGAGACTTTATCACAACATTTGTTCTGCAATATTCATTCAATTCTGTAGCATTTTGAAAATATTCAACATGAAGAATACAAATCTCCAAATTTATCTTACCTTCCTAAAAGCTCAACACACATAATCTTTCAAAAGAGAAGAGTCATGGGCAAGTCTACAATAGTTCTTTGGCAGTCACTCTCCTCACAGATTAATTTATTGATTCCTTTTTCTTACACTTAGTGCATTTATAATTTGTGTGATAAAGGTAATGCTAATGTCTCATCAGAATAAATAAGTATTAGAAATGTTACACGAGTGTTCCTCTACTATCTCACAGAATATCTTCTGAAGTTTAAAATACAATTATTCAGATTTTAACAAATGCCTCATAATAGTTTTAACCGTAGATTTTCCAATGCACCTTATCTTTTTTGCCATATAATAAAGCTCTTATTTTATCAATCTGAGATGCCACCAGATTTAGAAGCCACCTTAACAAAGGCATATTTCACTTCCCAATAATGCTGAAGCATCTTCCTGCGTTATACAATTCCATGAATTTGTAGGTGCAGAAAATAGCAACAAAGATCAAGGTAGAGATGACTACTTACGAACTGGTAGTGTTTGGAAGATCTCTATCTTACTGTAGTCTCCTTGACCTTTTCCATTCACAGCTGCAACCCTGATTTCATAAGTTGTATTTGGTTCCAGGTTGCTCAAAACAACAATTGCTAGAAGACAAAAATGTACACAAATCCAACATTTAATGCATTCTAAGAAGAAAAGCAAAGTTATTGCAATGTTGGGTGACTAATTTCATAGGAAAGCATTCCAAGAAGGAAGAAAAGTCATCTAAGATTGAGTAAGTTTGGAGCAGTATCCTTTTCTCCACCTTCATTTTAGCTTATTAAGCAAGCAGTGACATTGAACAAAAAAAAAGACATTGTTTTCCTATAGAAAGTTATTTTTATTTTGTCATTTTAATATCCAAGAAACAACATGAGGTAAACAAGCTATCTTTTCTTGTACGTATTCCAAGTGTTTTATCATTTCTAATTATTTCTTTGGAGTTTGAAGACAATATGGAATTCAGCGTATAGAGTACTGACATCCAATAATACATATTGCAGTCATATCAAAGAACAGTCACGGAGTGCAATCTATAGTAAGAGTGGCTCCTTTTTACATTGTCTCTTTTAAATATGATTTTACATTCTTGTCACTTGCATATTTATTTGAATTTCTTCTCAATTATGCACTGTACCAGACCTGGATTCAATATAACACAAATACAAAAACCTGGAAAAGGCACATGGAAGTAAAGACTGTGAGAAATATCTCCTGGGATATGTCAAATCCTGTATTATGACAGATAATTTTCTACTCAAATGCAGATATTAAAATACTGCATTTTTAAAAATAAAAATACTGTGTCTTTACAAGTACCTCTGATGGAGTGAACAAAATTCTCCTTTCCTCCCATTAGTGATCAGCTTCTGTTTTTTTTTTTTTTTTTTGGTTTTTCTCTGGTACCAGGAACCGAACTCACGACCTTGCGCTTGCCAGGCAGGAGCTTTTGCCGCTGAGCTAAATCCCCAGCCCCTGTTCTCTCAACTTTTAAATAAAAGTCTTTATATTGAGCAGAACTGAACCAAATGTGTAAAAGAAAGTTAAAAAGAAATGTAGGTAAAACTACTTGTGGTGGGTGTAATAATCACCATAATGAATGAATTATCTGTGCAAAGAGGTATATTTTCCATAGACTGTGACATAATTCATGATTCTGGGTAGTCCAAAAGTTATTCATTACTAATTATCATTATTTGCAAATGACATGATACTCTACATAAAAGAACCCAAAAACTCCAACCAAAGGGTTATAGATTTAACAACCAAATTCAGTAGTGTAGCTGGATGCAAAGTCAACACTCAAAAATGAATAGCATTCCTGTACCCAAAAACAAACTGAGAAATTAGGGAAACCACACCTTTCATAATAACATCTAAAACAATGAAATACTTAGGAATGAATCTAACAAAAGAAGTAAAAGAATCTAACCAAAGAAGTGACAGTTAGAGTACTCTCAGAAAAGAGGTCAAAGAGGATTTCAGAAGATGGAAAGATATTCCTTGCTCATGGATAGGAAGAACCAACATTGTGAAAATAGCCATACTCCCAAAATCGTTGTATAGATTCAACAATCCTTATTATAATACCAGTAGTATACCTCACAGATCTAGAGAAAACATTCCTAAAATTCATCTGGAACAAGAAGAGGCCTAAAATAGCAAAAGCAATCCTGGGTAACAAGGGAAAGGCAGGAGGTATCACAATCCCTGACTTGAATTAATACTGCAAAGCTACTGTGATAAAATCAGCATGGTACTGGCAACAAAACAGACCTGAAGATCAATGGAAGAGATTACAAGATGCAGACACAGCTACAAACACACTAAGCGTCTTATCTTTGACAAAGAGGCCAAACACATTCACTGGAAGAAAGATAGTCTCTTTAATAAATGATACTGGAAAAACTGATTTTCCACATGCAGAAGACCAAAGTTAAATCCATGTCTATTACCATGCACTAAACTAAAGTCAAAATGGGTCAAAGATCTAAATATCAAAACAGAAACACTAAATCTACTGGAAGAAAACGTAGATAAAAATCCTGAAGACACAGGAGTAGGCAGATAGTTCATGGGCAAAAACGAAACTCCATGGAAAATACTTCAAAGAATCAACAACTGACATCTCATTTTATTAAAAAGATTTTGCACATCAAAAGAAATCACCAACAGAGAAAAAGAAAACCCACACATAAGGAAAAAATTATAGCCAACTGCCCCTCAGACAAAGGACTTCTATCTAGAACATATGAAGAATTAAAAAATATCAGGTCTTCAAAATTCAAAGACCCAGTTCAAAAATGGGCATCTGAGATGAATACACACTTCTCAGATGAAGAAATACTAACGATGAATAAATATATGAAAAAATGTTCAGCATCATTAGTCATTCAAGAAATGCAAATTAAAACAACACTGAGATTCCATCTCATCCCACAAAGAATAGCTATCATTAAGAAATCAACCAATGACAAATGCTGGAGAGGCTGTGGAGAAAAAGAAACCCTTCTCCACAGTTGGTGGGACTGTAGATTGGTGAAACCACAGTGGAAATCAGTTTGGAGATTGCTCACAAAAGTAGGATTAGAAGGCCGACTTAACCCAGCTATTCACCTTCTGGGTATTTTCCCAGAAGAATTAAAAACATCATACCACATTGATATAGGCACACCCATGTTTATAGCAGCACAATTTGTCACAGCTAAATCTTAGAAACAATCCAAATGCCCATCAACTGAGAAATGGGTAAAAAAGATGTAGTATTTTAATAAAATGGAGTATTGCTCAGCTAATAAAAGATAAACTCGAGGCTTTTATAGGTAAATGGATGCAACTAGAGATCTTACTCAGAAGTTGAATAAATCGGACCCAGGTGTGTAAACATCATATTGTCTCCCTAGTGTAAAAACCTGAAAGAGTAAATAAAATCCAAAATGTACAATAGATAATGTGAAAGGGAAAGAAATCTGTCAAAAGAAGGAATAACTGGATGGGGAAAGAAGAAAATAAAAGAAAGAACTAAGGCAAAAAATAGATAGATAGATTAGATTAGATAGATAGATAGATAGCTGGGATAACTGTACTGCTGATGTCTGGTGTTTTATTGAAAGGAAGCGTTAACACTTAAATTTTTTTATGTATTTTGACCAATTTTCTATGCTTATACCTGGTAATCTGAGCAACTGATAAGAAGACAACAATATGCAATATAACAACCACTGGTAAATTCCTACCATCTTGTCTAGTGAAACTCTGGATTTTTTCTAATTTTTTTAAATTATTATTTTCTTATTCTCTTTAATGGTTTGAAAAATCTTCCATTCCTACATCTGGTAATCTGAGCAACTTTGCTGAAGATAACAATATGTAATGTAACAACCCCTGTTAATTCCTATCATTTGGTTTGTAACCCCATACCATCTTAATGTTCTTGCTTTGTTGTGTTTGTATCTTGCTATTATTCATTTTCTACTATTCTCCTTACAATAAAAAAAATTCATCACTGAGTCTATATTTAATTGCTGAATAGTATGCATCAATGGCAAAGAAGACTTAGTAGTATTTATTTATACAGATTAATCAACTTTTACATGAGAAATATAGAACATATGATACACAAGACTATATGACAGAGTATTATGTATGACTTTGTTGCTGATGAGAACTTTGATATTCCCCAAGACGCTCCACAGTTGTCATGATGCTGTTGTATCTCTCTCTCTCTCTCTCTCTCTCTCTCTCTCTCTCTCTCTCTCTCTCTCTCTCTCTCTCTCTCTCTCTCTCTTTCCTCTTCCTCTTTACATTTTTTGAGACAAGGTCTTGCACTGTGATTGAGCAATATAATTTATTCTGTTCTTGAACTCATTAGAAGCCCAGGCTGGCCTTGAACTCCTAGGTACCTTCCTGCCTCAGTTTCTAGAGTTCTAGGATTACCAGCATGCATCATTGTGCTTGGCAAACATCTCCTCAAGAGCACGTGTTAGACTGTAACATGCCTGTGCTGATCAGGAAACTTTGAGGCTTACATTTAATTATTTTCTTCAAAATGATTAACCAAGAAAAGCTGCAGAAATTAAAGCATTCATTTTAATTGCAATTAACATTCCACGTAAAACCTAAGTGAGGAGATAAGATTGTAGGTGTAATCTTTTCATCTTTTTAGGTTAAAAATAGATAACAGAGCTGTTGAAGTTTTCTGCATATTCAACCAAAGGAAAATAGAGTTTAGTACTTACATTAAACAATAAAAATGACTTATGCCCCAGAAAATTCCATATTTTCTTTAAATTCCATGCATATTTCAGACAAAAGCACTTGCTGGCCTGCTGGCTGGTCAGCACTCCCTTTCCTGTAACATTTGACAAGAGCTTTGACAAGTTTTCAGGGAAACCTACTTCTTAAATTACAAATGATCGCCTCAGAATGAGCATGAATGTCTCCATGTTTTCTGCTCTCACTATAAGATTAGTCTGTGTACTGAGTTTTGAATCAGAGCATTGAAAGAGAGAGAGAGGCTAGAGAGACTGAAACAGGGTAAGAATGCGGTCTAAACTGTTATTACAATGGTGGGTTTATAGATTACTTTCAAAATTATAGGAGAGATGCCTGAAAGTAAACCTACTGATGCAAGTTTTACAAAGTTTGTGAACAAGAAATGTTTGTTTTTGATTTGAGACTATAAAGGTTTTGGTACAATAACCCTTATTCTGAGGGTTATTAACATTCTGTGAAAAGAAAGATTATTATGTGAAAAGAAAGAACTGCATAAGTGGACCAAAGTAAAGAGAGGGAAAGTAATAGATTCCGGGGAGGCAAAGCTTGGATCTGTAATTTGACTTGCCTTTCCTAAATAAGATACATACATTAAATCGTCCTGAATTTACTAAACACCCATGGTGTAGCCTGAAAGAAAACCACTACTTGAAAAACAAAAAACTCTGTACTCTGCAATAAAATGGTACCTCAAATTATGAAGTTAGTAAATGGATGACTTTTTTTTCCTTTATATATGCCCATATAATAAACTACAAACTGAGGTGTGCGAAGAGTTTTTTCAACCTATAATCTATTAGAAATTCAAACTCAGAAATTAGGTGAAAGT